CACCCCATGAAACACAAAACAAACACAAACAAAAAATAATAACAAATAAAGCAACCATAAAAAATTAAAAGAAAAGGCGAAGGGTGGACACAAATATGCAAACAAAAACTATTTAACATACAAAAATGTGTAAAAGAAAAACAAAAGAATTCATAAATAATCGAAAAAGAAATTAAAGCAGAATAATCCTCTGGGCCGCTCGCCGGATCCTGAGTTTATCGACGGTAGAAAACAAACCAGATAGGAATACGAAAGGATGAGCGGGACAAGAGTGGATTCACCACACCCTCAAAGCTTAACAGCAGGTAAGTGTATATATGTATATAAATACCATCCGTTAGCCACAATTGTGGGCCGCTCACTCTATTCGGATGGGATATGTAGATACAGACCTACGAGGCGGCAGACTTCGGAGTCCTGCAGCCACAAGACACCGCCGCGTGGTGGGAAATCAAAAGGGGTTGGCTGTGAAGGCAAAATTAATAATAAATAAATAATTTTGTCCTACCGCCATCGGCACCCTGATTGCGTCCATCGCGGTCATCCAATCGACCACAAGACAGTGAAAAAGTACCGCACAGAAATGACTTCGTTTTATCAGGATGCATATTAATTTAGGCAGCCAGCCCTCGTCGCAAGCATCCTGGTCACAAGCACCTATTCTTCGGCTCGTCCACACACTTCATTTACCGCCCATCACACAACACACACAATAGGAGAAGAGAAGGATCATTACACAAAGCCAATGCAAATAAATAAACAATAATGGGAAATCGCAGCCCACACGGGGCCGTCGCACACGCACACAAACGCCCTCACGGCATTCCTCAGAAGAAGTCAAGCAGATTGGTACTCGTAAACCATCAAAAAGAAAAAAGGTGTGTGATGCCTCGACATCGGCAGCCAGCACAGGAGAGGCAGAGTGTATAGAGCATGTCCCTGGCACAAAGTGTACAGACAAACAGAAAGTATATAGAGCGAGGCATATCAATTGGCATGGATTGTTTCTCTCTTGCATCCACTGCTAAGCGCAATCCACGCAGGAGGCAACAACAGTCGCCTCGCCGCGCAACGGAACCCATGCCGCCGCTCAGCAGAGTGGTGTCACGGCGGCGGCAGCGGCAAGCAGAAGCAGCGGACAGGGACAAGCTGCTGCAGCAGCGTCATTGCCGTGGATCGGAGGCGGGGCGTCCGTCAGGTCCCTCTCCCAATCCCCGCGCCCCACCGCCGCATCATCATCGCTCCGCGGAGGGTCCACGGCGCCCTGCGCGGCATCAGCGGCATCAGGGCCCTTGGGTCCCGTGGTTGTGGCACCGCCACCGGCCCCGTCGCTGGCGGCCTCATCTCCTGCTGGTTGTCCCACAACAGACGTCACACCATCGGCGGCAACATCGTCGTTGCACGGAAGACCGCTCTTCCCTAAAGTCTCCTGCAGCGCACCCGCGGTGTCGCTGGGCGAGATCACCCCGTCGCCTGTCGGAGCATCTGGGGCGACTGCCTCTCCTCGGGCGACGGATTCTTCTGGGGTGCAGCCGAGTCGACATCCTTCGGTGGGGTGCCGCGGCCGGGATCAATGCTCTCCGCAACGGGGACGGATGCCCCCTCGCAATCCTTGTCCAGTAATTGCCGGTGGGACCGTCCTGCTCCACGCCCTCTCCTCGCCGTCCCACGGAACCACCGGAAGGAGACTGCCGGCGGTGGCGGATATCGCGCACACCCGCGCGTGGTCACGGCAAGCAACGCTTCCCTCATCGTGCGGTCGAGTGGCCCACGCAATCGTCGCCCCGTCCGTGCATGGGACCCAACGGACGCCGCCCTTTTCGACCACTCTAAGACGCACCTGCATGACAAGGCACCCCAATGCCGCATGCATGGCAGCACTCAGATACGTCTCCTCCGGGTCCCTCGCATCTGTCGTTTTCGTGGGAGGCGTGTCCGGACACCACGAAGAGGGCCTATCCCCGGGCATCGCAAACAAACATTCTCCCCGCCAAATAACACCGTCAGCACCCCTCACATCCAGTGCGGGATCAATGATGGAGCAGCTGTCCATCGGGCGCTTTGCTGACATTTTATGCACACTCCCAAGCACCAGCCACTGGAATACAGATCCGACGCGCAGCATTCGACGGGAACGCCCAATTCGCACAGCATGCGAAGATATTCACCCATGTTCAGTGCGGAGCAATTCCTCTGCAGCAGCGCACAGCACGAATACTGCACCAACGCGTCGGCTCCGCCATCTCCCGCTTCACCCTCATGCAGCCCAGGACAGCCAATGCAGCCAGCGTCAGCTCCGTGCAGTCGCCGGCACCCCAATCGCTGCCATCCACTCATCCCTCGCATGGCACCGCGACCGGTGCGACTCCAGCGTCCTCCCGTCCCAATCGTCATCCTGCTGCTCCACGCCATCAACGTCATCGCAGTCGTGGTGCTCCCTCGCTGCCATCGCGGCACTCGCGAGTGCTCCACCACCAACAGCGCCAAGCCACGCACACAGGCAGCATTCCTCACCATGCCGCGGCCTGCCATGTGCGGGCAGGCAAACCCGACAGCATGGGCCATCAGGTGCGCGGCGAGGCGGGTGGCGAGGCGTCCGTGAAACAAAGCGGCCGGGCAATGTTCATGGCGCCAGCGACGGGACGGCCATCCTCCAGCGTGGCGCACCGCAGTGCCCACACACCACCCGGCGCAGCAGCCACGTACAGCACTGTGTCAGAATTGGCAGCACCAGCGGAACGATGCTCAGCAGGCACAGTGAACCGACTGCAAACACTGCCCGTGGCGAGTGACGGCACAATCAACGAACCCTCCAGTGGCTGCACGAGCAGACGATCCGCATGCAGTTTGACAGCAGCAGGGACAACCTCCTCGGCAACAGCGTTCCCGTGCGCAGACGACACAACACCATTCATACAGCCAAACGCGCCGTCCAATGCATTCGCTGCGCAACACCAGGAGAAGCCGCAGTGCCTCCTGCTGCCACACGGATCCGTTGTTGGCGCCTTGATGCGGACGGGCACCCATCGGTCCCTCCAAACGACGCTGCACACCTGCAACGCATCCTGCGCTCCGAGAGGCACGTCTCCCACCACACCCGGGGACGCCCACACGCCGTCGGCACGCACCGCATCGTCAAGGAAACAGGGATACGTCAGGATGACAGCAGGACACCCGCCGGCAATTCACATCGCAGGCATCATCACAAGCAGCAGCAGCAGCACTGCAGGCCGCGGGGCGACGTGGATCAACCGACGCATGGCGCATGTGGAAGAAAAAACGTAATGGCCTGACGAGGATGCAAGAGACTGACACCTCTGCAAAAAGAAAGAAACGGTATGAGAACACAAAGAGGAGATTTAAACGCCCGCAGTCAATGCAAGCCACTGATAAAAAGGGTGGAATGAGTGCACTCAACCACAACACGAGCAGAGACTCAAAGAAGAAAACAAAAAACAAAAAACAAAAAAACAAGAAGCCGAAGCGTGGGACGACCGAAGCACACACACTCTCATTGCTCCCGTAAAGCAAAACACACACACACACAGGGAGAGAGAGAGGTCGTCCACTCAAAGCAATGAAAAAGTAAAAAAAAAAAACTGTTACGATGCTCCGCCCATGCAGCCAAGCAGGACGGCAGCGGTGCGTGTGGCTCAAAAGAGAGAACCAACGGGCCTGCATGGGTGTGCATGCATAAATACGTGAACACATTATGTGTGTGCTTATTAGGCTGAGGTGAGGGCAAGAGTCCATGCAAGGGGACACACACAAAGAGAATGAGAGAAGGACGAGTGTGTGTGCGGGCGGTGCACGGCTCTCTCTCCCTCACTCTCACGCGGCCACCACCGCAGCAGCAGCCGCACACGCAACAAGAAAAAGCAGAAGAGGGGAGGTGGTGTGGGAGGCCGCGGTGCTGCCGTCACTCTCGTCAGGCGTCCTCGTGGCACTTGTTTGAGCGGCGGTGACTGTTGCTGGTGTTGGTGTTTCTGTTACGTTCCCATTCGGCGGTTGTGACTCCTGTGGGCCTGCGTCTGTTTTTTCCGAATCATTCGAACCATTTTTCTCCGAACTGTTGTCCTGCCCCCCAGAGGAACCATCGGCAGTTGGTGTTGCTGTTGTTGGTGGTGGTGTTCCTCCCGCCGGCAACGGTGACTGCAGCGGTGACTGCTGCGGTGGTTGTAGTTCTGTCGTCGTGCCGGGGGCTTCTGGTTCACCCGGTGCCGCTGGCTTCGGCAAATTTTCCGCTCCCGTTGATGGTTGTGTTGGCGTTGTTTCTCTCTCTCCAGGATTTTTTAATTCTGTTGTACCTGAGTTTCCTATCGATCGATCCGAACCATTTTTCTCCGAACCGTGGTCCTGCCCTCCAGAGGAATCACCGGCTTTCGGTTGGTCACTCCCTTCCTCTCTCTGAACTGTACTCTTCTGTGAGACAGTTTCTTCGAGTTCACTTGCATTTCTTTTTTCGTTGCAAAAAAAGAGGCTGCTGTTGAGCCTGCAGTATGTGCCGTTTGCTCCATAGTGCTTTTTACGCAACGATTCGTTTTCTCTGCCAAAATCCCACGCGTAGCCACCGCCGGCACCGCACCACAGCACGCTGAGGGCACACACCAGCAGCACACGGCCAGTCATCATCATCGCCATCACTCCTGTCACTTGCCTGCAGCTTTAAGCACAAAATAACAACACGTCAACGCAGAGCGGAAGCAAAAGGAGAGACACGGCCGCTACACCACGCACAGCCACCGCACAGTCACAAATGGCAGCTGCCCAGCAGCGGCAGCGCACACACACCATGAGGCAGTTAAAACCAGTGAAGGGGCAAAAACACACAACGCCCCGCAGCAAGTAAGCAGAAAAATACACACGAAACGATTAGAAACAAAACACAGGTAAAAGAACAGCAATGAAGTAAAAAGTAAAAAAAAACACAAAACAAAGAGCTGCACAGTATGGCTTCAGCGCGCACGCACCCATCCTCAAATGTGATTCCACGCAAACAGTTGTGTGCGTGCCATGCACATGAGTGTGTCTGGGATGCGTTCAACGTGATGGATGCGGGGAGCGGCAAGGAGCACACAGCAGGGCAGCGAATGCAAATAAAAACAGTAAAACACAATCATCATTTTTTCGTGTTTATTACTTAGGAAAACAATAGACGCGCACAAGTCCCCGCGGCTGAGTGCTGGCACGCACAGCCCACACACAATTCTCAGCCCGGAGCGGCGTACGCAAGCGCAGCCAAAGCGAGCAGCAGCGGGGCACGCAGACGGGTGTCATGGAAGCAGGCGTCATTTCCGACGCCGCTCTCCAGCGCCTTCGTTCTGGGCGCGGAGGAAAGCGGAGCCAGCATGCCTGGCGCCGTAGAATTTCTCTCGCTGGTGGCCGTGTCGGTGGTGCTGGTATTGTCGTCGCGCGTCACCGCGGCAGCAGACGGCGGGGTGCCGTTGGGAGTCCCCTCCGCTGCGGAGTTTTCACCCGGACCGCTGGCAGCAGCCTGGCCGCCTGGGGATGGGGATGTTGGCTCAGCGTCACCCCCTGCTGTTGTGCTCCGCGTGGCACCTGATGCGGCTGCCGTTCCTGGCTCTGGCGAACCGTCGCCCGTAACGCCTTGGTTTCCTGCCGCCGGCAACTGTGACTGCAGCTGCTGCGCCGATTGTGGTTCTGTTGTCACACCGGAGGTCACTGGTTCACCGGGTTCCGCTGACCTCGGCAAATTTATCGGCCCTGTTGGTGCTGGTGGTATTGGTAGTGGTGACGGAGGTGCTCCTCCCCGCTGGTTTAATTCCTCTGCTTTACCTTCATCATCTTTCGGACGACCCGAGCCACTTCCCTCCGAACCGTGGGCCAGCCTCCCAGCAGAATCACCGCCACTCGGTTGATCAATCGCCTTCTCTCCCGACTCGGCATTTTCCCCTGTGACAGAACCTCCCGTTGCATTTTGTGGAGACATTTCCCCAGTTGCTGTCACACACACGGACGAGCAGCAGCACAGGGCGAGCACCAACAGGGCGCACAGCAGACGGTACGTCGTCATCATCGTGAGTGTGGTCGTTCAGTGCTGTGGAGCTGATCTGCACAGTGAGGGACATGGAGAGCAACAAGGAAAAAGAGGGGTGCGGCAGACACACACAAGGAGAGGGCAGCAGCCAGGCATGCACCGTACGCCGCACACCACGCACAACACACACTCCAATCCACGGCAGCAGGCACACACACACAGCCCTGCCGCAGCACCAACACACAGATGGAGGAGGAAAAAGCTAACAGGAGCGGCACACAAGGCTCCACCGCATGCACATACGGCAAGAGCGGTCCGTCGTGTCTGCACCCCTCACGGAGGGTACGCACACACACATACAAGAGGGTGCAGCACACAGCAGCACGAAAGCAAAGTAACAATTAAAAAAGAAAATCCCCGTACACCACGCGGATTGTTGGTCCACGGGAAGCGCAGCCAATATTCATCACAAAAACAGTTCAGTCGCCTTTGGCCTTCCTTCATATTCAGCGCACACCACTTCATGCAAGCGCGGCCACCACCGCAGCAGCAGCAGCACACGCAAAAATGAGCGCAGGGAATGGAATAAAGCAGGCAACCATTTATTTGTGTTTCTTTTTGGAGGGTGGAAGATGCCTGCATATGTCTGTGAGCTTCTTCAGAGGGCAAACCCTTATGCCTGGGTCGTGTGTGGGGGTTTCTGCAGGGTGCCCAATTGTTTTTCCTCTTGTGGGTTTTTCTTGTGTTGGTGCAGCCAATAATTCGGTTTGTGTTGTTCCTGCTCTTCGGTAGTAAAGTGCTGCAATAGGTGTTTCCTCCATTCGTCGCCGTGACACATGATTCCTCACCGTTTATTGAGGTGGAAATAAAAACCATGTGAGTGGACTCCCACGCACCAGAACGCACCTTCGCTCCTATTTATTGCTGCACAGAAGGGCATGCGTGTTTGGTGGTGCCTCGACCATATATTTCGTGGGCGTACATTCCCCTGCAGGCTGAGGGCGGGATGACGCTCCGTCGCGGTGCACTTCCCTCGCATGCCGCCCACCGTGATTCGTCATGCATCACTCTCGCATACATTCCGTGGTGCCACACCGTTGATCTTATTGCAGCCGCTGTGATTCCGCGTATTTCACGCATTTCATTTTGCCACAATACATCCGCTCGTGTGGCCGCCGCATCCAAACAGCGGTGCCCAACACCGTGAGCGGCAGTCCACATCCCTGCATGCCCCAGCGCAGTGGTGCCTGACTGTCAGCCAGGCGCCAGACAACACGAAAGTCTTGTGCTGGCGGTACAACAAACGGAGCTGCAGTGAATGACTCGGGCGGCGACGCATCTATTTGTCGCAAAGCAGCGAAAAGGAGTCGGGCAAAATAATGCCGGCTGCATTCACGACACCATACCCACAGCCAAAGCATGCGACGTGATGTGCGTTTCGTTGGTGCTGTGAAATGCCTGCAGACGACGTCACTAGTGGACGCACACCACCCATGATCAGCAGACAGACAATAATCGGCATGGGGGCCACAAAAGGCAGCAACGAAGCCAGTAGCAGCAGCAGCTCTCTCTCTCTCTCTCTGTCGCCTCCGAGAAGTAAATATTCCACCAGCCACAGCTGACTGTGCCATCGTGACACTCCATGCATGTCGTGGCTGCGTCAACACATCCTGCTCCCTGCAGCGCCTCAAAAGATGCCTCACTCCGTCCACTAAGTGCATCGATGTGGGCCGTGCCTCGGCTGTGCGTGAGGACCACAACGATTTGAGGGTCACCGAGTCGCAGCATGTTTGTTGTGACGCTGTTGCATGGCACCTGCACACACACACGCAGCGCCTGCATCCCTCCCTGTTGTGTTCGCCCTCCGCCGGAGTGGCCACACACACGGGCAGCAGCAAATTCATTTCACCCTCGACAATCCAAAATCAACACCGACATCCCTCGCCACGCAAAGATCTCAGTTGCCAGCACGGGCCTCCTGTCGCTCTGCCATCGACGCTGAAACACGGCACAGTGCACTGACTTATTTTCCTCGTGCTCAGTCAGCCGTTTGGTTCACACATTCTCCGACGGGATGGCGCCCATAAAGGCACGCCACAAAAGCCACTGTGATCGCACAAGTTCTTGCGACGAGCGTCGGTGTGTGCATGGATCCGCTGCTCACACGTGCTGGCAGGCAGCCTGCAGCCGGTGCCCTCGTGCCAGTACATCGGCTCCAGCATGGGAAAGAGAAAACGGCCTATTCCTCTTGTACTTATTCCCACCAGCAGCACCAACACGCTGGTCGCCAGCCGTCATTCCTCAGCACATCCAGAAATGCTGAAGAGTGACGTGGAGCTGTCAGCCAGCAATGCCACAATCCCCGCACACATGTCGGCTCCACCAGAGAAGACACACAAACTACACACAACACCCCTCACATGTTTTCCAACCATCATTCCAACACACCGCGACACGCCAAACAGAAGTATTCGTCACTCCATGCACCTCCCCACACAATCAAATAGTCCACGCACCACGCACGGCAGCAGCTCACACCCGTCAAACAAGTGCTCTTCGGAGCAGTGTTATCCACGTGCTGCAGTGGGAAGTAAACAAACGAGACAGGCTGCCAAACCCCAAAGGAGTGCCACGACTGGCCGCAAGTCAACGGAGCGCTGCCACTCAAAACAATTCAGTCCTCATGCCCTCAGCCTCCCACCTTCTCCCACAAAGGCCCCAAGAGCTGCAAACCAAACGCGCAACGCCCCTTCCCCAGCAGCAGCAGCCAACGGAGCGCAAGCCCCGCTGCACACACCACGACGATTCCACTCGTAGTGCCGACGGTCCGCAGCGCCAGCTCAGCGCCACACTCCACCGCCCCGCCGTCCCACGGAGACATCTTGCCTCCAACAAAATAAAACACCAGCGGATATTCGCCTGGGCCGCTCGCCGGACCCTCAACTTGTCTAAAGAAACCAAGCAAAACAGAAGAAGGGGCGAACGGAGGGGCAGTGGGTTCGCAATCCACTCAGTGCTTGCTCCAACCACATATATTACATTTATATACATATTCGGACTGCCGCTCTCGTGACATGCTGCGCGTTGTTGGGGTTAGAAATACTATGACTTACGAGGCGGCAGACTTCGGGGTCCTGCAGCCACAAGACACCGCCGCGTGGTGGGAAATCAAAAGGGGTTGGCTGTGAAGGTAAAATTAATAATAAATAAATAATTTTGTCCTACCGCCATCGGCACCCTGATTGCGTCCACCCCGGTCATCCAATCCACCACAAGACAGTGAAAAAGTACCGCACAGAAATGACTTCGTTTTATCAGGATGCATATTAATTTAGGCAGCCAGCCCTCGTCGCAAGCATCCTGGTCACAAGCACCTATTCTTCGGCTCGTCCACACACTTCATTTACCGCCCATCACACAACACACACAACAGGAGAAGAGAAGGATCATTACACAAAGCCAAGGCAAATAAATAAACAATAATGAGAAATCGCAGCCCACACGGGGCCGTCGCACACGCACACAAACGCCCTCACGGCATTCCTCAGAAGAAGTCAAGCAGACTGGTACTCGTAAACCATCAAAAAGAAAAAAGGTGTGTGATGCCTCGACATCGGCAGCCAGCACAGGAGAGGCAGAGTGTATAGAGCATGTCCCTGGCATAAAGTGTACAGACAAACAGAAAGTATATATAGAGAGAGGCATATCAATTGGCATGGATTGTTTCTCTCTTGCATCCACTGCTGAGTGCGGGCCACGCAGGAGGCAACAGCAGTCGCCTCGCCGTGCAACGGAACCCATGCCGCCGCTCAGCAGAGTGGTGTCACGGCGACGGCAGCGGCAAGCAGAAGAAGCAGCGGACAGGGACAAGCTGCTGCTGCTGCAGCGTCATTGCCGTGGATCGGAGGCGGGGCGTCCGTCAGGTCCCTCTCCCAATCCCCGCGTCCCACCGCCGCATCATCATCGCTCCGCGGAGGGTCCACGGCGCCCTGCGCGGCATCAGCGGCATCAGGGCCCTTGGGTCCCGTGGTTGTGGCACCGCCACCGGCCCCGTCGCTGGCGGCCACATCTCCTGCTGGTTGTCCCACAACAGACGTCACACCATCGGCGGCAACATCGTCGTTGCACGGAAGACCGCTCTTCCCTAAAGTCTCCTGCAGCGCACCCGCGGTGTCGCTGGGCGAGATCACCCCGTCGCCTGTCGGAGCGTCTGGGGCGACTGCCTCTCCTCGGGCGACGGATTCTTCTGGGGTGCAGCCGAGTCGACATCCTTCGGTGGGGTGCCGCGGCCGGGATCAATGCTCTCCGCAACGGGGACGGATGCCCCCTCGCAATCCTTGTCCAGTAATTGCCAGTGGGACCGTCCTGCTCCACGCCCTCTCCTCGCCGTCCCACGGAACCACCGGAAGGAGACTGCCGGCGGTGGCGGATATCGTGCACACCTGCGCGTGGCCACGGCAAGCAACGCTTCCCTCATCGTACGGTCGAGTGGCCCACGCAATCGTCGCCCCGTCCGTGCATGGGACCCAACGGACGCCGCCCTCTTCGACCACTCTAAGACGCACCTGCATGACAAGGCACCCCAATGCCGCATGCATGGCAGCACTCAGATACGTCTCCTCCGGGTCCCTCGCATCTGTCGTGTTCGTGGGAAGCGTGTCCGGACACCACGAAGAGGGCCTATCCCCGGGCATCGCAAACAAACATTCTCCCCGCCAAATAACACCGTCAGCACCCCTCACATCCAGTGCGGGATCAATGATGGAGCAGCTGTCCATCGGGCGCTTTGCTGACATTTTATGCACACTCCCAAACACCAGCCACTGGAATACAGATCCGACGCGCAGCATTCGACGGGAACGCCCAATTCGCACAGCATGCGAAGATATTCACTCATGTTCAGTGCGGAGCAATTCCTCTGCTGCTGCAGCGCACGAATACTGCACCAACGCGTCGGCTCCGCCATCTCCCGCTTCACCCTCATGCAGCCCAGGGCAGCCAATGCAGCCAGCGTCAGCTCCGTGCAGTCGCCGGCACCCCAATCGCTGCCATCCACTCATCCCTCGCGTGGCACCGCGACCGGTGCGACTCCAGCGTCCTCCCGTCCCCATCGCCATCCTGCTGCTCCACGCCATCAACATCGTCGCAGTCGTGGTGCTCCCTCGCTGCCATCGCGGCAGTCGTCGAGTGCACCACCACCAACAGCGCCCCGCCACGCACACAGGCAGCATTCCTCACCATGCCGCGGCCTGCCATGTGCGGGCAGGCAAACCCGACAGCATGGGCCATCAGGTGCGCGGCGAGGCGGGTGGCGAGGCGTCCGTGAAATAAGGCGGCCGGGCAATGTTCATGGCGCCAGCGACGGGACGGCCATCCTCCAGCGTGGCGCATGGCAGTGCTCACACACCACCCGGCGCAGCAGCCACGTACAGCACTGTGTCAGAATTGGCAGCACCAGCGGAACAATGCTCAGCAGGCACAGTGAACCGTCTGCAAACACTGCCCGTGACGAGTGACGGCACAATCAACGAACCCTCCAGTGGCTGCACGAGCAGACGATCCGCATGCGGTTTGACAGCAGCAGGGACAACCTCCTCGGCAACAGCGTTCCCGTGCGCAGACGACACAACACCATTCCCGCAGCCAAACGCGCCGTCCAATGCATTCGCTGTGCAACACCAGGAGAAGCCGCAGTGCCTCCTGCTGCCACACGGGTCCGTTATTGGCGCCTTGATGCGGACGGGCACCCATCGTTCCCTCCAAACGACGCTGCACACCTGCAACGCATCCTGCGCTCCGAGAGGCACGTCTCCCACCACACCCGGGGACGCCCACACGCCGCCGGCACGCACCGCATCGTCAAGGAAACAGGGATACGTCAGGATGACAGCAGGACACCCGCCGGCAATTCACATCGCAGGCATCATCACAAGCAGCAGCAGCAGCACTGCAGGCCGCGGGGCGACGTGGATCAACCGACGCATGGCGCATGTGGAAGAAAAAACGTAATGGCCTGACGAGGATGCAAGAGACTGACACCTCTACAAAAAGAAAGAAACGGTATGAGAACACAAAAAGGAGATTTAAACGCCCGCAGTCAATGCAAGCCACTGATAAAAAGGGTGGAATGAGTGCACTCAACCACAACACGAGCAGAGACTCAAAGAAGAAAACAAAAAACAAAAAAAGAAAAACAAAAACAAAAAAACAAGAAGCCGAAGCGTGGGACGACCGAAGCACACACACTCTCATTGCTCCCGTAAAGCAAAACACACACACAGGGAGAGAGAGAGGTCGTCCACTCAAAGCAATGAAAAAGTAATTAAAAAAAACTGTTACGGTGCTCCGCCCATGCAGCCAAGCAGGACGGCAGCGGTGCGTGTGGCTCAAAAGAGAGCTCCAACGGGCCTGCATGGGTGTGCATGCATAAATACGTGAACACATTATGTGTGTGCTTATTAGGCTGAGGTGAGGGCGAGAGTCCATGCAAGGGGACACACACAAAGAGAATGAGAGAAGGACGAGTGTGTGTGCGGGCGGTGCACGGCTCTCTCTCCCTCACTCTCACGCGGCCACCACCGCAGCAGCAGCCGCACACGCAACAAGAAAAAGCAGAAGAGGGGAGGTGGAGTGGGAGGCCGCGGTGCTGCCGTCACTCTCGTCAGGCGTCCTCGTGGCACTTGTTTGAGCGGCGGTGACTGTTGCTGGTGTTGGTGTTTCTGTTACGTTCCCTTGCGGCGGTTGTGATTCCTGTGGGCCTGCGTCTGTTTTTTCCGAATCATTCGAACCATTTTTCTCCGAACTGTTGTCCTGCCCCCCAGAAGAACCACCGGCAGTTGGTGTTGCTGTTGTTGGTGTTGCTGTTACGTTCCCATTCAGCGGTTGTGGTGCCTGTAGGCCACTCCCAGTCCCGCTCTGAGCCGTACTCTTCTGTAGGGCAGCTTCTTTGCGTTTACTTGCATTTCTTTTTTCTTCGCAAAAAGGGAAGCTTCTGTTGAGCCTGCAGTATGTGCCGTTTGCTCCGTAATAATATTCATTCACCGATTCGTCGTTGAAATCCCACGCGTAGCCACCGCAGGCACCGCACCACAGCACGCTGAGGGCACACACCAGCAGCACACGGCCAGCCATCATCATCGCCATCACTCCTGTCACTTGCGTGTAGCTTTAAGCACAAACTAACAACACGTCAACGCAGAGCGGAAGCAAAAGGAGAGACACGGCCGCTACACCACGCACAGCCACCGCACAGTCACAAATGGCAGCAGCCCAGCAGCCGCAGCACACACACACCATGAGGCAGTTGGAAGCAGCGAAAGGGAAAAACACACAACGCCCCGCAGCAAGTAAGCAGAAAAAAACACACAAAACGATTAGAAACAAAACACTGTTAAAAGAACAGCAATGAAGTAAAACATAAAACCACACAAAACAAAGAGCTGCACAGTATGGCTCCAGCACGCACGCACCCATCCTCAAATGTGACTCCACGCAAACAGTTGTGTGCGTGCCATGCACATGAGTGTGTCTGGGATGCGTTCAACGTGACGGATGCGGGGAGCGGCAAGGAGCACACGGCAGGGCAGCGAATGCAAATAAAAACAGTAAAACACAATCATCATTTTTTTCGTATTTATTACTTAGGAAAACAATAGACGCGCACAAGTCCCCGCGGCTGAGTGCTGGCACGCACAGCCCACACAGAATTCTCAGCCCAGAGCGGCGTACGCAAGCGCAGCCAGAGCGAGCAGCAGTGGGGCACGCAGACGGGTGTCATGGAAGCAGGCGTCATTTCCGACGCCGCTCTCCAGCGCCTTCGTTCTGGGCGCGGAGGAAAGCGGAGCCGGCATGCCTGGCGCCGTAGAATTTCTCTCGCTGGTGGCCGTGTCGGTGGTGTTGGTATTGTCGTCGTGCGTCACCGCGGCAGCAGACGGCGGGGTGCCGTTGGGAGTCCCCTCCGCTGCGGAGTTTTCGCCCGGACCGCTGGCAGCAGCCTGGCCGCCTGGGGATGGGGATGTTGGCTCAGCGTCACCCCCTGCTGTTGTGCTCCGCGTGGCACCTGATGCGGCTGCCGTTCCTGGCTCTGGCGAACCGTCGCCCGTAACGCCTTGGTTTCCTGCCGCCGGCAACTGTGACTGCAGCTGCTGCGCCGATTGTGGTTCTGTTGTCACACCAGAGGTCGCTGGTTCACCGGGTTCCGCTGACCTCGGCAAATTTATCGGCCCTGTTGGTGCTGGTGGTAGTGGTAGTGGTGACGGAGGCGCTCCTCCCTGCTGGTTTAATTCCTCTGCTTTACCTTCATCTTCCTTCGAACGACCCGAGCCACTTCCCTCCGAACCGTGGGCCAGCCTCCCAGCAGAACCATCGTCACTCGGTTCACCACTTCCTTCCCCTCCCAGGCCAGCAATTGATTGAGCACTCGCCTCCTCTCCCGACTCGGCATTCCCCCCTGCGACAGAGCCTCCCGCTGCATTTTGTGGAGGCGTCACCTCAGTTGTTTTACTGCAAAAAAACGTCGGGAAAGGCTTTACAGTATTTACCGTTTGCTCCATAATAATATGCGTGTAACTCATCGTTAAAAAACAGCGCGTAGCCACCGCTGACACCGCACCAAAGCACGCGGAGGGCACGCACCAGCAGCACACGGCCAGTCATCGTCATCGCCATCACGGCTGCAGACACACACACTGGTGCTAAGCCTAATGAGTAAAGGCAAACATGTGTATATTTAAACACACGGCTATAGACGTCTGCGCAACCAAATGTTTTTGCACACGGTCATACATGTAAAATGAGCAATCCAAATAAATTCACACAATGAAGCAAAGAGAGAAACAGAAGGGAAACGCATGTATGTGTACATGTGTTGTTGTTGTTGTTTTTACGGTGGTTGCCTCCGCAAAAAAGCGCATAAACAAAAATAATTAGGAGCCGCCGTGTTAAATTGGAGGACCCATGAAAATAAAATAAAAAGTAAGAAGAAAAGGGCAAGTGTCGCCGCAAAACATGATGCTCAAAGGAAGGAGACACGCCACATCTAGCAGAGCAAAAAAAAAAAAAAAACGAGTACTACTTGCGGTCCCGGGCAATCAACTTTTTTCATGAAGTGGATTCATCGTGTGTATTGGATCCAATCACGCAGGGAAAATAAAAATTGTCTTGACGTGTGAAATGCATAAAGCCATTCAAAATCTCAAAAGCACCTTTTCTCTCCTACTTTTAGCCTCCAAATCCCTTTTGATTTGCTCCCCCCCCCCTCTCCATCTCTTTTCATCCATTTTTGGGGGCCACCTGCTTCCACACTTATGAAGACGTAAGAGGCAGCGTCGGCAACGTTCCCTATTATCCTTGTTGCCCTTGTTTTACATGCGTTTTCCGTTAAACTCCTCCCTATTGTTCGACTTTCACTTTTACGCATACACAGAAAAAAAAACACTTCCTCTTTCTCTCCTTTTCCCTCCTGGTTGTTGTTGTTGTTGTTGTTTTTCCTTTTTTGTCCATGGTGTCACCTCTGGCTCTCCACCACCATGCGGAAGAGTGCCACCACTGCGTGCTGCGGTAACTCACTCACGAGCTCCCATGCCTGTGGGTCGTTTTGAATGAGTGCGTTAAAATTGCTTGCCACGTAGCTAATCCCCCGCTCATGAAGCTCTGGCACCTGGTGCTTCACGGCATATATAAGCAGGCGAAGAGCATTTTGGTGATTAAAGGCGTCGTCCGCCTCCCGCTTCAGGTGCCCATCCATACCAAAGACACTGTGCATCTTAAAGACAATTGCCACATCTTCAGCAGAGAAATCGCGATAGGACTCAAGATGATGGCGATAAATCCCAATGAGCAGCTTCTGCCATGATCGTTGTGAGAAGTCAAACTCCGCGGCGGTGAAGGGCGGTATTGCCACGGAGGATCGTGGATTTATGGCTTGAGAGAAAAGAACGCAGCGTGAGGCTAAAATGTAGCGGTGTGCCTTCACTATCAAGTGCTTCGGACCCACCACAAGTTCCATGTCGCTGTACTCCCCCGACTCCGCCAGCCATGCCAACTGTCTGCCAAGCGTGTTCTTTGACGTCGGGATTGTCACCTGAGGGACCGGCTCCTTGTCACGTAGAATGAGCGAAAGACGACGGAATAGGTGGCCCGGAATTTCCTCAAACTTCGGATCCTGAATAAGAAAATCGTAGTTCTCTAAAAGAACACGAAGGTACAAGGCGTTTAAAACTTCATCCCCCGCATTATAACGCGTCAGTGTAATGTGAAGGATATTTTCATTCGTTAAAAGCGGTCGCACAAAATTCAAGCAGACTCCCGATAATTCATAGAATTCACATGCGGAAGACAATAAATACAAATCCAGCAGCGCTTCAGGCGGTAAGACCCCTTGTTGTGGGCATTCCTCCGTGTAAACATACCGCAAGAATGCAGAGAAAACATCTGTCGTGACTGCAATCGTCACAACGCAACCCGGCTGCAGTGGCAGTACATTCTCTGGTAGAAGAGGACGCATACGAGCGGCAATAACACACCGATGCGCCTTCATTCGAACACCCTGAATGTCAAACGTCATATCCGTCAGTGCCTCAAGGTGCTCAAATGGATATAAAAGTGGTGCACGAACTACTGCCTGCCCACCGCCTACAATGAAACCGTTCTCTGGCGCCACGATCAAATGACCCCTGGCAGACGTGGATCTTGTAGGGCCAACACCTCTGTATTCCATGGGTGAACGCATTCGCGAAAGGGCACGATTTGGGTCCTGATGAAAATTGAGGTGCGCCGGAGGTGAGCCTGAGCGTCCAGGAAGCACGTTTGTCTCAAAGCCTCCGTTACCATAACTCTGACCATTGGCGTCGACAATCTTTAGCAGAACATCAATGTCAAAGTAAAGTGCACCAGACCCCTCATCCTCATAAACAAATCCATTCTCCTGTTGAATGAGACGCCACATAGGAATGAACTCATTCATGCCCCACGCACTTCCGGACTTCTTAAACGTGCAGCGAAAGATGTGGCCCTTCGACGACGGGGGATCCTCGTAGCATTGTAAAAGCAATTTGAATTGTGCCACTACTGCTGCGTTCGTGCAGCTTTGAAGGTGGATGGAAAGAAATTCCTCACCACTCGCGGCGGTGGCGCGTCGTTGCAAATGTAAACGCCACGTGTACCCCCCAACAGTAAACTGCGGACCGTAGTGAGACGCATCCAAAGACATATTCCGTAGCAGTTTCACTGGGCAGTGGTAGCGAAACCGTGCACCGTTCTCGGAAACTACCTCCACGGTCTCTATCGACTCCATAGCCACAAAAAAAGCAGAGATACCTGCGGCAGTGGTGAGGGAAAAAAAAAAAAAAAGAAAAAAAAAAGAAAACTAAATACCTCTAACAAATTCGATATCTAACACACTTCTTCTTATTGATATTATTATTGTTATTATTGTTGTTGTTTGTTTTGTTGCCCCTCCTCCTGTTCGTGTGTTGTTGGTGTTGTTTTGACTGATCCAATAAACTAATAAATAAATGTATCTATGCGCCGCTGCCCTTCGTGTCTTGACTCTATTTCTTTGTTCTTTTAATTTTTTTTTTTCTTTCACCCACACGCGTCCCTTCACGCCACGTTTTTACGAGTCCGTGGGGGGGGGGGGGGGGGGGGGTCCGCATTTTCTTTTTTCTTTTTTTGCTGTTTGTTCTTCTTTTTTTCTGTGTGTGCGTTGTGGTGACGGTGGCGGGTGCTGATGGATGGATGGATGGGGCGGGGGCGGGGGCGGGGGCGGAGGTGGAGGCGGTGGGACAATATAAAGCGAGGGCGCATTTACAACCACGCAGACAAACAAAATCAAACAAAATAAAGTTTTTCCAGTTTGCGCCATTTGGGAATCTTGTGAATTTGCCGCGGGGGCTGCCGCTGCTGCAGTGATCCCTTCTTTTTGTTGTTTTTGTTTTTGTTGTTGTGGGTCTTTCTCTCCGCTGCCAATCCGTAAACTTTTGTCTAATTCCTCTCGTTGATTTCACGGTCCGGTTTTGTTTTCCTTCCCCCATTTTCCTCCACTTTTTGATTTATTGT